GTGGAACACATTTGTTAAACAAGAGAAAAATGAAGGAAAGAATGAATTATTATTTCACAATCAAAAGTTACTAGCGGAACCCCAATGAATACAATGTAATCAGAACGCTGATGCGTCATTCTGTGTGCGACGGGCTTGTTTATATCAAGTAAGTACCTAAGTAATACAACACGTCTTAATGTTACAATGTAAAATTGTGGTGCATGTTCTATTTATGGAATGACAAATTAAATGATCCGTCTACAACCTCAAACCCGAGCAGCGGTATATTCATTGCCGTTAAAGTGATATATGGGTAACAATCTTAAAAAAAAAAAATAACACTTTAATTCACAGGAGCTTGCGCTCTAGGCGCCGCTGTATTTGGAGCGGGCGGTAACTTATTAACTACATTCTGCAACCACTTGTTAGCACGGATTTTACACTTCACCATGATGAAATAACACAATATCAATACTAATATGCCTCCCCATATCATTAGCCCTACTCCAACATAGTTGAGTTTGTTCTCAACTTGATTCGATATAGTTTTAACTGTTGCTATTGCTATAGCGTCGTGGGAGTCCTTGTTCTCTTCCTTGCCTTGGCCCCAGCCCATTTTATCTGTTAAAATTTAGTGAACAATTTTCCTTCAAGTAGTGAAATTGTTAACTGTTTCGGACTGTTGTTGATTGTTTAATAACTTGAATATTTAAGTTTAATACAAAAGAGAACGATGAGTCTCATGATTTTGCAGAATTGCGCTCTACTTTAATGTTAAATAGTTCGCAGTTTACTTGTTCGATCAGTAATGCAATAAAATATTTTAACGTGCCGTCTTGTTTTAATTTACAATGCATTAACTTACTGTTCTGCTTATGTTTACTGTACCCTGTTTATTGTTCAGGGCGTTGAATTACATTCGTTGATTAATGCTTGAGTACAGGCCTCCTCTCACCACGAGAGGGTTTGCTAGAACTAAATACTTAACTAGAGTTGCGGGACCCGTTTTTCAGGGCCCGACTTTACGTTCTTAACCTAAAAGGGAATATATATTTGGGGAATGCATAGAATAACTATAGCGATGGTAGCCGCCGTGCAGGACCTACTCTACAATATTTAATTAGACTCCTGACAGTATCCCTGCACGGGGCGCCGACATTGAAATGAAATACAAAGCGTGCCTATGGATTAACATTACTGTAAGGGACTTAATTATCGATTAAATATCTAACTGGTCTATTTATGTCTCGACTTCTACGTGTAGTACGTATCACTGGCGGTGCCGGGCAAAGTACGTTTTGAGGTGACGGGGGCCTGATTGGACTGGGATGTGGTGTAGTTTGTCGCTCCTCGTCCTGTGTACTGGAATTAATTAAGAAAGCTGGTTTCAATCTATCTATTGAGACCTCCACTTGCCTGTTTGGAAGCTGCAATTTGAAAAATTTCTCATTTCTAGTGATGATTCTAAATGGGCCATCATAGTTTGGAGTTAGCGGTCGCTTTACTGCGTCGTTACGGATGAAAACATGTGAGCAAGTGTCGAGGTCTTTATGGACGAAAATTTTCCTGTACTCTCTGTTCCTAGCTGGAATTGGTTTAATGTTTTTAATTGTTTCCCTTAATTTTTCTACATAAGAGAACTGATCGAGATTTGTGATTGGCGTGCTCGAGTAGAAATCTCCTGGAAGCCTGATCACTTGCCCATATGTCATTTCTGCAGCATTTACCTCGTTGTCCGTTCTGCCTGCCACTCTTAAACCTAACAAAACTGTTGGGAGTTCCTCCAGCCATGATTCGTTGTCTATGAGCCTTGCTGTTAGCGCTACTTTTAACGATCTGTGCCATCTTTCAACGATGCCGTTACTCATGGGATGATAGCTTGTGGTGCGTAGCCTCTGGACTCCCAAAAGTTTCATTAGTCTTGCAAACAGTTCGCTCTCGAACTGTCTCCCTTGGTCCGTGGTAACGTACAAAGGTGTTCCGAACCTGCAAACCCAGTTTTCATACAAAGCCTCGCTACCGTCTCCGCGGTCATATCTTTAATGGGCACCGCCTCCGGCCAGCGTGTGCCTCTATCAATCATCGTGACGAGATACCTATGACCTAGTTCCGTTGTTGGTAACGGTCCTACCAAGTCGATGTGTACGTGTTCGAATCTGCCCGCGTTGTGAAATTGCCCTAAGTCTGAAACTACGTGAGGACCTACTTTGCTTCGCTGACACTCCACGCACTGCCTCGCCCAGATTCCTAAATCCCTATTCATTCCAGGCCAATAAAATCTCTGCGCTAGCAGTCTCCTCGACGTCCTAATACCTGGGTGACTTAAATTGTGAACTGCCTGAAATACTAATTTCCTAAAACTGCTAGGTACATACGGACGCGGTGTGCCGGTGGTCATTTCGCAATAAATCAGTTTGTCTGAGTCAGGTAGCGACAATGTTGCAAAACGTGACTCTAAGTTTACTGACTGTGTAATCTGAGTATCCTGCGCCTGAGCTGTGGCTAGTTCGGCGAAGTCGATAGCTTTTTTCCATCTGTTCGCGAACGGTTGTCGAGGACATGGCTTGAGGTGGATCACTGTGTCGCTCAATTTCTTACGGGTCATGGTAACTTTAAGAGCAAGTTGTATTCATTTAATTAGTCGAGTCACCATTGTGTCAATGCTCAACACCTAACTCTCATTATGAACAGTCTGCTCATCATATCCTCTGGGAATGTAGTCTTTGGTATAATGAACGTAATATAATGCTGAATAGCTTGCAGGTGACATCTGGGGCGGTATACTATGGGGATCTTGTGTCAACTAGGGTGAATTTCCGTGCGTTTAGGCGATTCTGCCATACATATTATAGAAATCAAATATAGCTCATGTAGGACCCGTAATATTTTGTGGCCGTGGTGCTTCCCTGTTTAAAAGGGTGTATGCCTATTTTACTTCATTTTGTCTCCCGCTTTGCTAAGGAGGGAAGTGGATTTACTGTATTTCCAACTCCTCCAATTTTCTTCTGATTAATTTCGTTGCGGGTTCCAAGACAGTTTAATTTCTTCCTGGGACTTCCCGAGTGTCATAACTCGGTGTGTTCGTGGGTCACTGCTGTGGATCCTGGTGTACAGGAGTTACAGTGGTGGGCGTGTGGGTGGGATTAGTAAAAAGTCGATAGCTGTTGGGCACGTTATAGTTTCCACACGAGATAACGCGTCAGCAACTGTGTTCTCAGTACCGTCTATGTACCTAATGCTATTTGTAAATTCACTTATAAACATAAGTTGCCTAGCCCTTCTAGGCGTTTCCCTAGCCGTACCTACCTTTTGGAGGGCAAAAGTCAATGGCTTGTGGTCCGTATAGACGATCAGTTCCCCACCTTCTATTAGGTACCTGAAATGGTCTATGGACAGATGGATAGCTAGTAACTCGCGATCGAACGTGCTGTACTTTTTTTGCGCCTCCGTGAATGCTCTTGAAAAGTAACGTAAAGGTTTCCACTCGTTGTTTAACTTTTGTTGTAGCACTCCGCCTGCCGCGTTGTTTGACGCGTTGGTCATGAGCGCTAGCGGTACGCCTGGTACTGGGTATGTTAGGGTAGCGGCGCGTTTTAGGCTCTGTTTGCTTTGTATGAAAGCCGCGTTTGCTTCATCGTCCCAGTGAATTTTGGTCTGGTCGTGTTTCTTAGAGTTATGCAGAAATTTATTTAAATGCTTCTGAGTGCTTGCCGCTTGCTCGATGTGAGCACGGTAAAAATTTATCATGCCTAGGAAACGTCGAAGCTGTTCGACGTTTTCTGACTTTGGGAAATCGATTATGGCTTGCACTCTGTCTCGCAATGGTTTGAGACCTGAATTTGATACTTCAAATCCTAAAAATTTGACTGTTCTATGACCGAAACTGCATTTACTTAAATTAATTGTGATGCCAAATTTTTGGAAAATGTCTAAAATTTTGTGTAAATGCTCCCTGTGTGCTTTTTCTGTCTCGGAGGCAATAATTATGTCGTCTATGTAGCAGAACAGGGAGGATTTGGAGCCAAATTTGTCTGTGATTGATTCTATATTTTGCAAAATGGAATTCATAAACCTTTGGAACGTTTGGGCCGCGTTCCGCAGACCAAAAATCATCCGGGGAAACTCGAATAACCCGAATGGCGTTATAATTGCCGTTTTTTCCACATCCTCAGGAGCCATTTCGATTGCGTGGTACGCCCTATTTATATCTAGCGTGGTGTAAATTTTCTTACCTGCCATGCAGTAAGTGATATCCTGCAGTCTGGGGATAGGGTAGCGATCAGGCTTGGTGATCGCGTTGAGTCGCCTGTAGTCGCCACACGTCCTGATTTGCCCGTCCTTCTCGGGGACGACGTGTAGTGGGCTGGCCCAAGGGCTGTTGCTCGGCCTGCAGATTCCTAGTTCCTGTATTACCTTAAATTCCTGTTTGACCTTCTCGTATCGGTGCGGCGGTAATGGCCTCGCTCGCACATATACCGGCGGCCCGTGGTTTCTATGTGATGCTTGACTGCATGTTTGGCCGGCACTGTAAAATTAATCGGTTTAGTGGTGTCTGGATAACAATCCAGAATGTCGCGGTAAGGATGGGATGATTGAACAGTGTTAATTGATTGGCCGGCACGCACCAGTGACCCGTGTACACATGTTTTTATATTCATATCTACTAACCTTTTCATTCGCAAATCTACTGCTAAATTATTTGTCCTTAAAAAATCGGCTCCCAGGATCGGTTGCTTGACGTCACATACCACAAATGTCCACACTATTGTTCTATTTAACCCAATGTCTAGTTCGAACGACGTTGTACCGTAAGTCTTTATTTCAGTGTTATTTGCCGCGTATAGCTTATAATCGCACTTTACACGTTTGCCTACACTGACGTTGCTCGCGGGTATTACGGATACGTTTGCGCCGGTGTCTACTAGGAATGATATGCCGTTTCTTTGATCTTGGATGCACAGGCGGTGGTTGTCTAGAATCGACGCGCCCCCCCACTGCCGCTACAGGGAGCGTCGGTTTTAGTTTTCCTGTCTTCTTTGCCAACTCGCTGGACCTCGCTGCTGAGAACTGACAGGGTTGCTGACAGTTCCTCGCGAACCTTCCGAATCGCTGATGGTATGCCCATAACCTGCTCCGTTGCTGTTGTTGTGGAGGTCTGAATGATGTTGTGGCTCCTCTGCCTACTGACCAGTTTGTTCTTGGCCTCTCTTGGCTTCTGATTTGCTGTACTTCGCCGCGCAGCTGTTCGAAATTCTCCGACATTTTCTTTATCTCATGTATCAGGCTGCTATCCTTCGTCTCTTCCTTTACTTCCGCTATCACCCCCTGTTTGATATTCTGATGTACCTTATCCGCAATCGCTTCGAGTTTTTCGGCGTCTAACTGTTCGTGAGCCACTAAAGCTGTTCTTACGGGTGTGGGTAATCTCCTTAGCCATAGCATCTTTACCGTGGACGATGCTACACCTGCGTTTTTGCCTGCCTCGGCCATCCGTCTGAATAGCTGCGATGGCCTCTGTTCCCGGATTTGTAGGTCATCCATAAGCTTATTAAATTGCGTGTCCGGTGTGTCCTGGAATTCACTAATCAGCCTGGCCTTGACTGAGTCGTAACTCTTCTGCGTGTCGTCTAGTAAATCACTGATGTAGACTAATTCCTCCTTTCCAAGTTTCCCGATCACCAGGTCAAACTTGGTGTCTTGGCCGACCTTTTGTGGCGTGATTATGGCCTCGAATTGCGCGAACCACAATTTTGGCAGTTCCCTCCAGAACGGGGCGATCCTGCTTGCCACACTAATTGAGTGTAATTGCGACGAACTTTCTTCCTCGTGGTCACTCATTTTCACAGCGCGTCTTCTTTGTTCAGTACGAATCTACGGCGTTTGATTGCGACCGGATGCGCGTAATTCGATATCACCACCCGCCTGGTTATGTTTAAAACGTTCGGGGTCACCACTTTAGATCACCACAACAGATAGAATACACAGACGATTAACAATATAGAAATAACTGTAGGGATCGATATCATAATAACTACCAATATATTTTTCGCACGGCACCGAATACTATATCGCGACGGTCGCAAGTTGTCACTCGTGGCAGGTACAACGTAAAATATATATTACACGTCTACCTACATTTTGTAACGTCGTCGGCCGTGTAGAAAATGTTTGTGGATAAATATTAATAGTTATAATAATGTAATATTTGTTTGTTTATAATGTATGTTGAATTATATATTGTACATTGTAAATAAAAATTAAATATATACGTATAAATATTGTTTATAGTGAAAATAAATAGTGTATGTTTGTATGTCACCTACATCACTCCCCCCTAGAGACCGTGCTACGGGCGATAGTAGTCTGGAAAATGGACTTTCCGACCAGAACGGGTGGTTTTGGTTATGGGAAGAGGGGATGGTGGATTAGGTGGGGAAAGATTTGGGTTGGTGTTTTGTCGGACAGCATGTAGGCTGGCTTTAAACGGTCTAGGGATACTGTGACAACTTTCCCTTTAATTTAATTTTGTAAACTGTGGCACTTCGTTCGATCACCTCATAGGAACCGGTATATGCCGGTTGGAGTGCACCTCTTAACGTGTCGTCTCGAAGAAAGACAAGAGAACAGACTGAAAGGTCTTTGTGAACAAAGGTCTTATGTTTCGAGTGGTGTGACGTAGGTACCGGTTGTAAGTTATTGGCAAATATCCTGAAACGCGCTGTGAAGTCGGTTATGTCAGTCGTACATTTACTAAACGTTTCACCAAAGAATTCGAAATATACTAACTCGGCAGAAGACGATTGCAGGTCTTCTTTGAAAGAACTTCTTATACCGAGCAGTACAAATGGCAAGGATTCAGTCCAGCTGCTATCAGCGTGACATTTGACAGCTGCTTTGAGCTGTCGGTGGAATCTTTCGACTAAACCGTTGCACTGAGGTTGGTAGGCAGTGGTCTTAAGATGCCTGAAACCTATGGTCTTTGCGAGGTGTTGGAAGAGACTAGACTCGAATTGCCTACCGCGGTCAGTAACAATGTCAGTAGGACAACCGAATCGTGCCACCCATCCTGATAAAAATGCTTTGGCCACAGTTTCCGCTGAAATATCGGTAATAGGGACTACTTCAACCCATCGTGTAAAGCGATCAATGAGTGTCAGGCAGTACCGATATTCATTGGAAGGAGGTAATGGTCCGAGTAGGTCTAGGTGGACATATTTGAAACGCGCTGAAGGTAAATCGAGGGTACCCAAGGGGGTGGAAACGTGTCGATTCACCTTCGTGCGCTGACAAGCCAAACATGCCTTAGACCAATCGCGACAGTCTTTCCGCATCTGTGGCCAAACGTAGCGTTGTGCTACCAGCTTTGCGCTTGTGTTAGCACCAGGATGACTCAGTGAGTGCAACGAGTCTAAAATTTGTTGCGCAACGGTCTAGGGATGAACGGCCTGGGAGTCGCTGTGCTGACGTCGCAGTACAATTCAGTACGACTTCCAGGTACAATAATCTTTTTGATGCGCAGGGAAGAATCTCCTGTAAGGTACTCAGTACACTTCCCTTCGCGGCACCGTGCGACTAACGTGTGACCTAATGTGCTAACAATTTAAATATTGTTTTCTGTTTTTCTGCGACTAGTTTTCGGGCTGCCGGCGGCTAAAGGTTGTGTATAGTGTTTTAAAGAAAGTCAGTAAGTTTTTATTGTTTTTAAACAGTAATACAGTGCTGAATTGTTTTATTACAACTATTGGTGAGTAAATTTATTTTCTTTCTAAAAGTGGGTAGGAGGTATCCTTTGTTTATATTGATTTTTCTCTGCGTGTTGTTTATTTCTAAACTTGTTCCTTTTGAAATTGTTGTTTGGTGTGTCTTTGTTTGGCTATGTCGGTCGTTAGCGAGTTGCCGGACCCCGGCGGTACAAGTGAATTTCTAACACCAACCGGGAAAAGGACATTTATCGAAACGTCACCTACGGATTTCTCGCCGAAAGACAGTAGCCGTAGGCGCATTATTAATTCGGACTTAAGTGGTAATGTTTCGTCTCCTACCGGTCGTGATAACTGTGGGGAGTACAAATACTGTAACTTAGTGTCACAGGCCACTGATTATTTGGCAAAAATTAATGAATTAGTTAATGATCAGGGATCTCGGTTGAATGTAGGTAATAAAACGGCGATTATGGATATTACTCAACGAATTACCGGTATCGTATCCCTGTTAGCAATAAAGTTCTTTAGCAACGAAACGAAGTTAGCGAATTTTGAGCGACAAATGGATGGTATCGCAAATCAACAAACGAGTTAACGTACGCGGACAAACTTAAGCTTCGCTTACCACCTAAATCTGCCCGTGCCCGGTATCTACTGAAGCGCGCGTTCCTAGGCCTTGTGTTATTGCCTATCCCACTACGGAACGCTTAGCGGACTATGCGACCTCGTCAGCAACGAAAGAAGCTCTCATGAAGGCTATTAAACCGAGCGATGAGGGTTTCCAAATTGTAGGCGTTAAAAAACCTCTAAGGCAGGCGTCGTGTTACGTGTAGCTAACGAACGGCAACTTAAGAAACTGGAATCTGTAGACGCCAGCCATTAAATCAGTAGGGTTACGGTTAGAAAAACCAAAAGGCCGAAAGCCCCGCATAATTGTAAAAGACGTACCCGGTTCTATGGAAGATCGTGCCTTCCTAACAGCCTTATACCGTCAGAATATCAAGGACGAATTAAAATTAAGTGAGAACGATTTTATTAAGTCAACCAAAATTGTTAGGCATCGTAAACTAGAAAATGGGCGTCAATGGATAGGCTTAGAATTAGAGGCAGCAGTTAAGAAACATCTAGCCATCACAAAAGATTAAAAAAAAAAAGTTTAGTTTAAAAAAAAAAAAAAAGGTTATAGAGTAACTTACTAAGTAATGGATAATATTTCAATAGGCCAGTTAAATCTTCATAACGATAAAATAGCTACATCAGAATTAGACCGTTTAATTTTAGAACAAAAGTTAGACATTGTCCTTATACAAGAACAATATCAGAGCGCTCGCTTGCGTCGTAATGTAGTACAGCTTGACTGCCGTTCGCAGGCTTCGATATATGTTGCAAGTTCTAATTTTACGGTAACATCTTTGCGTAATCTTATGACGTCACACTGCGCCGTTGCTGAGATCTCATCCTCTACCTGTAAGGTTTACGTAGTGAGTTTTCAATATTCACATCCTATTGATCCTCACTTACATCACTTACGTTACGTCTTGCAGTTCCTCGTGGGACATAAAATTAATTATTATTGGCGCTGATGTCAATGCGTCATCTTCATTATGGTAGTTGCGTTCAACCGACACGGTTCGACGTTGTGCGGTTGAAGATTTCATTGCGGAAATGAATCTTACTAACAATACCCCCGATGCACCACCAACTTTTTGCAACCCAATGGGTGAGTCTTCTATTGACGTGACGCTTACGCGCGGCGACGTCTCGATATCCGGATGGCGTGTCCTTCCGGACGCATCCTGTAGTGATCACCGCTTGATCGTGTACGAATTCATACCAAGGGTTGCACAGGATCCACAAAGGGCTCCCTATAATTTTAGATATAAAACTAAAGGTGCGAACTGGGCTTTGTTTGGTTCACTCTTTGCAATTCATACCAAAGACTTCAGTCGCAGTAGTTTATCAGCTGAGGAAAGCGCAGAAATACTATCAGAAACTTTCACATACTGCGCTGATGTAACTATTGGTCGCGGATCTATCACTAACACTCGTAGATGTGATTGGTGGAATGATAGATTAGCCGACCTACGTAGAAGCTACCGGAAAGCTCGTAGAAAGTTAAACACTATTAAAAAATCGGTTGTCTGTAAAGTCGGTTTACTGACGATAGTTGAACGTGACAACGTCATAAGAAAATACTGATGGAATGGTTGCATTTTTCAAAAATGTATTATTGTATACGAGTAGCAGCTGTCCACGCGGACGCATCGCTCACTCAAGTAGGAGAGAGACAGATGTCGAACGCTGCCGAACGCGGAGGCCGATTGTGCCTCTCTGTCACTCGTTCCGTGCTGTCGCTTGCACTTCACGCCTTAAATGGAACGCCTCAGAGCGAAGTAACGCCGCATGAGTCATGTTTTCTCGTGCGTGCAGCCAGCTCCATCGAATTATAAGACGTTGTCACGTCAAAAACATAACGTAACAGGAGATTTCTACAATAATGCTCTCATTGCTCTTAGAGTTGCCAGGTCCCACTACAGAGCTGCTGTGGAAAAATCCAAGGGAAACTTAATTCATAAACTTGTTGATAAACTCGATAGAGAGGGCCCGTGGTCACCTTTGTATCACGAATTTAAGGCAAATAGATCAATCGACCTTGCATACATACAGAACATCAAAATTAATAACAGATATACCACAGGAGTAGAACAAACTGCAGAATATCTTTTAGAATCACTTGTA